TGTATGTTGCTATAAAAGGTACTACAATACTTTGTGAGATTCGTGTGAAAGTGTTAATCATAGAATAACATTATGGAGAGAAACACACATAATTAGATTTGCTATTACAATGACAGAAGCTTAAATACAAAGTTCTGGTATTATTTCAAAATATGAGGCATGAAATGGCCGTTGGCAAAACGTATAGGTTCTTAGTAGCCTATTCACGGTTTTTAATGAGACTAATAGATATTTGGTATATTGATTAAAATTCGTCACATAGTCATGTACGGTGAAACTGAAACTCTATAGGTTTATGTTGAAACAAAAGAGTGTATAGAGAATTTGAAGTGTGCTAAATAGCAAGAAAACGAAAGATTTGTATTTTGATACTAGAGTACCTTAACTAGGTACGTTTACTTATGGAAAAACATAGTCTATTGGAAATCTACTGTTGAAGTACGAAAAAGTATGTTGGTTATTTATAATCATTTGTAACGAATTTTGCACTTGATTTGAAGTAGTAAACCATTTTTGTCATTTGCAGTAATTTAGGCAATGATATTTTGGTCTACATGGTATGTAACGTAAAGGTTTGACAATGTTTCATTTTCCAAATGTGTACTAACTGTAATATAGTAATACATAACCATGAACGTAATTAAGTGATAAGTTCTTTATTTAGGAAAGTAGGGTTGAAATAATAGCATTTTTGGTTTCAAATATTACAGTAAAGCTGTTTCTGACGGCATGAAATGAATGTATAACACGATGTAGAGGCACAATCATAATTAGATTTGTAATTACAGTGACGAAGGTTTAAATAAAAATATCTCTCAATGTTTCACGAGAAATAAGATGACCGCAGGGAAAACATTTAGTATCTTCGTAGCATTAATAGTTTATCGAAATTTATAAAGAACTTATAAACGACCAGCATTGAGATCGCAATAGATATGTGGTATAAGAGTTGAAAACGATGCAAGTAAATGAGTGATGACTGATTTGAAATAAAACAAACGCTTTTCTATTGGTAGAACAAGCACAATACTTTGAATATGATCAATACATGCGAGTGTGTTAACTTTTACCCTCCAATTTAATGCCGAAAAATGATTAGTAGAAAGTTTCATTACTTGTACATACATTACTTATTTTGAATTAAGGTGGTGTTAGTACAGAGGTTTCTTTGATCGAAAGATATTGCATAGAAAAGTTTGCTCATTTGAATGAAAGTGGACATTGAAACGGAAACTAATGTTTATTTCCACAAAATCATGCACTGAAGTAAGTGACGGAGACCGGTAAACAAATAATTCATGTAAATAAAACAAACGTTTATATATTGGAATAACATATAATACTTTGTGAGATATACGTGCAAGTATCAAATTTTACTATAATGATGAAACATGGTCAAAAGAACGTTTCAGCATTTGTAAAAGCATTATTTATTATGAGTTAATGTGATATTCGATTATAGCTTACTCTGATGGCGTTAGTATTGTTTAGAATAGTTGATTGAAAATGAACACTAATGTATAGTTGTGAAGAGCTAGCGTGTCTTCGTGAAAAATAGTAGAAAATGTATTAGCTTTACGAAACTCCAACTATCTCACTAACATAGTAGTTATAGAAATCACAAAGAACCTACTACCATGAGAATTGTAAGTAGTAATTATTTTTTGCGGCAATATAATTACTAATTTAAGGACTTATTCAGTACCCTAATGAAATCAATAATAATCTTATAACACCACAATGTTATTCTTTCATTCCACGTCGCAGGCAGCAGCTTTAGTATAATATTTAAAGTTATAAAATCTATATTTTCTACCTTTTATAACAACATACAAGCGTTTGTTATATTCTAATCTCCATTTATTTACGGTCATAGTTTTCATACATTATACGACAACTACTTTACATCTAGAAAATCAAAAACTGTGAAACTTTCACGTTATACACCAAAATGTAATTTCCTAAATTGGTGTGAATGAAAAATACTATCTTCCTACTTAATGCAAATGCAAAATACTTACAATAAATTATGAATAATCAACTTATTCCTTGAACAGTAAAATACCTTTGCATGTTATATTTGCTACATGTGAATATGCCTTAGTAGGTTACTCTAGTATAAATATTTCCATATTATTAAACGTATCATTTGTTCATATGCTGTTCAGCACATTTCAAATTCCATATACGCCTCTGTGTTTTTAACTTAAAAATGTCGTTAGTAATACCTATAATTTCATTTCGATCCTACATGACGAACCTTAAACGAAATAACAAATGTCTATTGCAATCTCATTGAAAACGGTTTACAAGATATACATTCCTTTCTCAACACTGACAAACGTTACAAAGAATCTATATGTTTTGCCAATGGTCATCTCATTTGAAATATTACGACATATTTCTATTTATGCTTCTGTCATTCTAATAGCAAATCTAATAATGTTTTTGTCTCTACAATACTTTGTGAGATTCATGTGAAAGTGTTAATCATAGAATAACATTATGGAGAGAAACACACATAATTATATCTGCTATTACAATGACAGAAGCTTAAATAGAAAGTTCTGGTAATATTTAAAAACATAGGCATGAAATGGCCGTTGGCAAAACATATAGGTTCTTTGTCGCTTATCCACAGTTTTCAATGAGACTAAAGATATTTGGTATATTGAATAACATTCGTCACTTAGTCATGTAGGGTGAAACTCAAATTCTATAAGGTTTATGTTGAAACAAAAGAGTGTATAGAAAATTTGAAATGTGCTAAATAGCAACAGAACAAATGATACTTCTAATAATATGGAAATATTTATAGTAGAGTGACTTCCTAAGGCATATTCACATGTAGGAAATATATCATGCAACGGTAATTTACTGTTCAAGGAATAAGTTGATTATTTATAATTTATTATAAGTATTTTGCATTTGCTTTGAAGTAGGAAGATATATTTTTCATTCACACCAATTTAGGAAATTACATTTTGGTGTATAACGTGAAAGTTTCACAGTTTTTGATTTTCTAGATGTGTAGTAGTTGTCCTATAATGTTTGAAAACTATGACATTAAATGAATGGAGATTAGAATATAACAAACGCTTGTATGTTGCTATAAAAGGAACTACAATACTTTGTGAGATTCATGTGAAAGTGTTAA